CAAATCTCACAGGCAATTTCTAGTTCACTGTCTGGACTGGATTTGTTAGACCTCTATCTTTTTCTTCCAGGTATATTTTCTTCAGTTGGTTTCTTGGGCACCACATTGTCTTACATTATTGTTTATGTCTCTCAGCACCTTTGTTGAATCATCTTCATCTCTTTGACTTTAAATTTGTGCCATTCAATTACCCCCTCACCTCTATATGCCAGTGATCTAAGTTTGTATTTTCAGCCCTCACCACTCCTGTGAGTTCCAGTCTTTAAATCCCACTGCCTACTCTGCATCTCCACTTGCATGTCAAATAGGCTCCCCAAACTTAATCATTGGGGCTGGTGAGATGGCTCAGTGGTCTAAGGCACCTACTTGGAACAAGCTTAACAAAGCACAGGGACCGCGGTTCAATCCCCCAGCACCACATGCCAGCCAGCCCCGCCCCCTGGTGGGCTGAGCTGGACACACACACACACACACACCCACACCCACACACATAAATAAATAAAATTAAAAAAAAAAACTTAATCATCAAAATCAAACTCTTGATTTTCTACCCCAATCTACTTTTACAGGACACTTCTGTTTTCACTTAATGGCAACTTTATTCATGTAATTACTTAGTAAAAATCTTGGACTCATTCTTGACTCATTCTTCCATACTCTACATCTCATCCATCAGATTTAGATTAAAAGATGTCCATTACGGTATTGTTATGAAAATGAAGACTTAGAAATGATCTAATTGTTGACAGTGGAAGAATGATTACATTGTGGTATAGGGAGCTGTTGAAAATGCTGCTGTAAACCTGGCTTCAGACTGAGGCAATAGAAATACAGGTTCAAATCTTGCCTGGTGAACTTAGTAAGAACTTGTCTTAAAATTTAAATAAATAAATAAATAAATAAATAAATAAATAACTTAAAAAGGTTGGGGAAAGAGCTCAGTGCAAAGACCTGGGTTCAATCTCTATTACCGCCAAAATAAAAAGTTGCAATCAGTCATTATCAGGGAAAGGAAATTAAAACCACTGTGAAATATTACCTCTTATTCATAGGGATGGCTCTTACCCAAAAACCAAGAGATAACAATTGTTGACAATAGCTTTTAGGGCACAAGGGTGTGAGAACCCAGGTATATCATTAGTGGGAATGTAGACTGGTATATCCTTTATAGAATAATAGGCTAGAGGCTCCCAAAAAATGAAAAATAAAACTGCCGTGTAATCCTACAGTTTTGCTCCTAGACATAAGCTCAAGTATGTTCACTGCAGTATTATTCACAATAGCCAACAACTGGAAATGTCTGTTAATGAATCAATGGTTAAACAAAATGTGGTATATTTATACAGTGGAATGTTACCAGCCTCTAAAAGGAGAAGATCCTGTCATTTCCCACAAAATAGATGAACCTGTTATGCTAAGAGAAACAAGTTAGGCACAGAAAGAAAAATACTACATGATCTTACATATAAAAGAACTCAAATACACAGGGATACAGAATGAAATAATGATTATTGCTGGTGGAGAAAGAGAAAGAAAAGGTATAGGGAGGGCCGGGAAGATAGCTCAGTAGAATAAGTGCTTGCCTGGCAAGCACAGGGTCCTGAGTTCAATCCCCGGTACCGCAAAAAAAAATAAATAAATAAATAAATAAAAATAAGAAAAGGTATAGGGAGATTTAAGTCAAAAGATGCAAAAGAGAAGACGTGGGATCATCTAATGTCTAAAATGGGTAATTTAATAAGACTGTATTATACTAGATATTTTTATTAAGTAAGTGTGGTACTCTTTCCTCCCCTGGGTTTAGTTTCTGCAGTTTTGGTTACCTCAAGTCAGCTTCAATCCAAAAATATTAAATGGAAAATTCCAGAAATAAATAGTTCCTAAACTTTCAATTCTATGCTGTTTTGGTAGTATGATAAAGTTTTGTGCATTTTACTTTGGATAGCAATCATTTCTTTGTCCAGTATATCCACATGGGATATGCTGCCTGCCCATTAGCTGCTCAGTAGCTGTTTCAGTTATCATGGTATTTCTGTAAACATATCTAGGGTTCAGTACCCTCCACAGTTTCAAGCATCCAGTGGGAGTCATGAAATATTTTCTGGGGGGGGGCGGGATTATTTTAGTTTTGACTAGTCTTGTCTCATACTAAATAGGAACTACATAATGTTATAGACATATTAATCTGCTTCGAACCATTGGGATACTATATCTCATAACATCTTGTGGTAAACCCTTAATACAAACAATAAAATGTTGTAGTTAATAGGTTATTACTTAATAATTTTATCATGGATAATTTCATACATGTTTAATAATAGAGAACTGTGGATTCATCACCCGGCTATAACAATGATGAACTCACAACCGTTCTTGCCCCATTTACAGCCCTACCTTCCTCCCACCTCTCCACAGGACAGCAATGACCAGGATTTTCAGTGCTAGAGACTGAACCCAGAGTCTCAGGTGTAGGTTAGCATTCTGTTACTGAGTTATAACCCCAGTCTATCCTTCAGTATTATTTTAAAGTACATCTCAGACATCATAGTTCTTAATATGTCAACTATATACCATACTATGTTATAAAAACAGATTAGAAAGAAATGCACAGAATACAATTTCATTGTGATAAACAATATGTGCATAGGGAAATATCTGTCAGGATAGTTATCTCTGAATCATAGTATTATGATTTGTGGATCTCTCCCTTTGCTTGTGTATTGTTTCCACAGTGAACCTGCGTTACATGGAGAAAAGGTAGTGGTGGATGGGAGAAGATGCCTATGCTGACCTCCAGCTGTATTTCTCTTGTAAATGTCCTTAGGCTGGTATTTCACATGGTAGAATAGAAATAGCTACTGAACAGAGGTCAGAATGCTCTCTATAGGCCTCTGTTTTCTCCTTGGACATTTCATCTTATAAAATGGCCACAGCAGCATCTATCATTACAGCATGGCTTCCCAACCTGGGCTGGATCCTTCTTTACTGTGGAAGCCTGTTCTCTGCATGGGAGGATGTATAAGAAGCATCTTTATTTCTACCTGACAATGCCAGTTACATCCTTTTCTATTGCTGTAACAACCAAAACTGTCCTCAGGCAACATTGCCAAATGGTCCATGAGAGGCAAAACTACCATAGTGTACAAGATGAGATGCACAGTGTCCAGGAGAGCGGCAGGACAAATGTCCTATTTCATGCACTTTCTGACTGAAACCTCCAGGAGGTTATACTTTGTAAGCTGATGAAAGCTGTGATTGTGGTTTACTGACCTGCACATTTAATTAACCAACCTATGACACAGTGGTTAATGATTATCTGTATTTCTGAGGCATATCCAAAAATGACCAAGACAAGTTCAACTCTGAGAAAAGCAAAGGTCGTGAATGAAAGATTGCTTGTCAGCTATGACAGTGATTGGTTAGATTTGCCTCTTCAGCTTACCAACAGATCCATTTCACTATTCATCATCCAGACAGGAAAATGCTGTGTGGAAGTTAAAAATGGGAGATTTCTTCTTAGAAAATGAATGATGCTGCATACATATAAATAGGTCTTTTTGATCAGTAATAAACACACATAGTAGCCAAAGACAGACGAAAGGGCTATTAAATATTGTTTAATCTGGACGCTTTCATAATAGAAAAAGCTCACTAGAGAACTATGGAACTGAAGTAAAGGAAAATCTGAGGTCATCTTGCCCATTCCATGCTAGAGCCACACTGTTCTGTATGCTTACCCTGCTCCCGCACTGTCCTCCACCCCCAAACAGAGTCTTATCAATACTCCCATTTTAATCATACAGAGTATTCCTCATGTTTCTCCTGCAGAGTAAAAATCAGCAGATGAGCAGAGGGTGTACATTAGTGATACCACAATCTTGGGAGAATTACTTCAGTTAGTGATAGTGTTGGTTTCATGGAAAATAAAACTTCTAGCAAAATCTACCTCCAAAATTGCTGATTCAGGCTTATCAAGCATTCTACAAACTGTCTTAATTTGTATTACATAATTAAACAACTTATAGAATGTATTTGTGGAGTTTTAAGTCTTAAGGATTATTTTCTTGAAATTATGAGTTAAAAAACTCATAATTTTAGAGAATACCACGTAATATATTTATAAATCTCTATATACTTTCTTATTTTTGTCCTTCTTAAAAAATCTTTTTTACAATAATATCTGGGATTTTCTTCAGTGGTAAATAATTTTTAAGAATTACTATTAATTGAATATCTTCTGTGGGCCAGGTATTCTTTAAGTACTAAATCCATAATAGTTACACAATATTTGTAATCCATCATGTCTATATTTCCCTTCAGGAAAACGGAAGTTCAGAGTTGCACTTTGTCTAAATTCTCATATGGCTGAATGGCTGAGGCATGACTGAAACATAGGTCAAGTAAATTGTCACAGAATGTGAGATGGCCTTACAGTTTGTGCGAAGAAAAATGTCCTTGTCTGGATTCTTCAAAACGGAATGCCATCTGCAGTTTTTGGGAGGTGAGTGTGTGTAAAAAATAAAAATAAAAGTTAGTTGTAATGAAATGTTGAGGAGCCAGTGGCTCCGATGGGGCTAGGAAACAGCCTAGATTGGGTTGAGAAGTTTTGTTAGGGGTAGAGGAAGAGTGCAAGGGCTTTGTTCAGTGACAAAGAATAAATTGGGTCCCTCTTAAGAGGGGAAAGGATGAGGATTTCAGAGAGGCAAGCTCTCCATGGAAAAGCCTCAAAATCCAAACGAGAGTCGGGAGAGGCTCCACACATCAAGGCTAAGGGGACAGAGCAGAGGTCAGCAGGGGCTGCTTCACAGAGAAGCACGAAAAACGCAAGCAGAAGGCACCGGGCTATTGCTTTAAAAAACAAAAGTAACCCAAACCTAAACCTAAAACCCAAGGCCACCCCCAAGCCGGCAGTGGAAGAGAAGTGTACCCACAATTGAAAAGGGAATGTCGGACTGTGCACTTCCGGCAGTGCGCATTCAGTGTGATTAATTAAGGTCAAGGTGACATGGAAATACCAGCTGGGGTGCATTTCGCCTAGAGATAAATTCGTCCCTCTGTATCTCTGTGAGACAGCAGGGAGGTGAGTGTTTGGAGCTAAATTAATTTGATTTACATCATGCCATGGTAACTTCTGTTCTCTCTCCCTGCTGTCAGATGTCTCCGCTGGCTTCTTCTCTCTTTGTCCCCCCACCCCATTTCATAACACGCGATTGGCTTCAGGCAGAATTTAGAAATGGAATAATTCTGATTTGATTATTCTGCATTGAGCGCTGTTCTTTCTCTCGCTGCACGCCACCCCCACCCCTTTCTCGAAGAAGAGAAGTTGTAAACCCGAGCACAAACGTGATTTATTTTTACACCGTGCTTCATGGCCCCAAATGCTCGCTGATCGGCCCTAGTTGTGTGGCAAAGCGGGCAGCTCACCCCGCTCC